GGCGCTCCCGCCGAGGGTTCGGATCCCACAGACCGGTTCCCGCTCACTGGCTGAGTGAGGTGCGGGAGCAACACCGAGGGTTGCGATCCCGTGCCGGTCCCGGTCCGGTATGGGCGCGACACTGAGGGTTGCGATCCGTTGCTGGACACGAAAAAAGACAAAAAAAAAAAGAAATAAATGGTCTTATAGGGCCGGCCCCTTGGCTCACTCGGTAGAGTGCGGCGCTGGGAGCGCAGCGATGCTTCCGCCGCGGGTTCGGATCCTATATAGGAATGGCCGGTGCGCTCACTGGCTGAGCGCGGTGCGGGCAACACCACACCAAGGGTTGTGATCCCCTTACCGGTCACAAAAAAGACAAAAAGTTAAATAAATAAAAATAAATGGTCTTATAAAATTTACAATTTGGAAGGAAAATTTTAATTTTAAAAAAGGAGCAACACCGAGGGTTGCGATCCCGTGCCGGTCCCGGTCCGGTATGGGCGCGACACTGAGAGTTGCGATCCGTTGCTGGACACGAAAAAAGACAAAAAAAAAAAGAAAGAAATGGTCTTATAGGGCCGGCCCCTTGGCTCACTCGGGAGAGTGCGGCGCTGGGAGCGCAGCGATGCTTCCGCCGCGGGTTCGGATCCTATATAGGAATGGCCGGTGCGCTCACTGGCTGAGCGCGGTGCGGGCAACACCACACCAAGGGTTGTGATCCCCTTACCAGTCACAAAAAAGACAAAAAGTTAAATAAATAAAAATAAATGGTCTTATAAAATTTACAATTTGGAAGGAAAATTTTAATCTTAAAAAGAAAGCCTTTACAGCTTTCATCTTATAAAATCCCTTGGATCAAAAAAGGTCACATTTGGGGGCTGGCCCAGTGGTGCACTGGAGAGTGCGCCACTTGGGAGCGCGGCGGCGCTCCCGCCGAGGGTTCGGATCCCATGTGGAGACTGGTTCCCGCTCATTGGCTGAGCGCGGTGCGGGCACAACACCGAGGGTTGCGATCCCGTTACCGGTCAGTAAAAATGAGACAAAAGGGAAAAAAAAAAAGGTCACATTTGGTCTACAGATAATGATAAAATGTGCACTAAAGAAGCCCTACCAAGAACAAAAAGTCTTAAGTTATTTATATAGTAGAAAATAACTCTTAATAATACTTTTTGGCTGATTGGCTTCCCTCTGCTGTGGGTGGCTACTCCAGAATTCCTATATAAATGCTTAAGGGATGCAATATGATCAATGGTAGGACTGGAGATCCTGGTTTAAAGCTTTATTTACATAAAAGTATAGATTTTCCTAACTATTTGTGTTACAGAACATTAAAAATAGAAAACTTTTCTAAAGATATTTTTATTCACATTAATTTACATAAGATTGAGAAAATGTCAGTTGTCTAATATCAAAAAATGGGGAAGCTAAAGCAGTACATCCCTTCCCCCTCCCCAAATCACTGCTCTGCTTGCCTTTAGTACCTCTAATGTTAACGTTCTGTTTCCCAGAGATCCAGAGATAAGACCTGTAGGTTGCTTTTAGTTTTTCAGAGAAAAGGAAACTAAGAAAGGTCATCGTAAGAACACACATTAAAAGAAAAGGAAGAGTAGATTGAGCTTCTGCTGTTAAACAGTGGGAGAAAACAAGACATTGAAATTTCAAAGCAATTTGTGTTAATGATAATTAGGCAACATGAAAGATTTTTTTTTACCTTTGTGTTTTCAGAAGTAATGTCAAATTTATTTGAAAATTAGATCATCTAAAAGGTTTCTTGCATGTTAAATGGTTGAAAGTGGTGTCATTAAAGAAAAAATGCAAAACCTGTTTTTTTTACAGAATAGTATAAATGTTTATTTTCTGTATGATTTACTTTGCTGTCCTGTTTTTACAATATAGAAAAGTGTATTCTTTGAATAGCTCTAGTAAATATAAATTTAATCTTTCTACTTTGGGATGTAAATAGAGCTAAAAAATTATATACCCAACCTCCCCAAATAGTCTTTTAAAATTGTTGAATTAATGTGGCCATTAATCTTGTTCAGCAATTTGACGCAAATGCCTAAATACAAAAAGGTGTTTAGTAAGTACTACAGAGGAAAGAAAAGGCTTAATACTTTAGATAGCTTCTTGAATATCAGAAAAACTAGTAGCATATGATTGCACCTTCAAATTTTTACAAGCAAAACATCCTTAAGCAATGTCATAATACATAATCTACAGTTGTAATTGAAATTTCACAAACATTTTCTGCACACTGTATATAAATACACATCACAAAGGTGCAATTAGAATTAACACAGAATATATACAAAATGAACAAGTTTAGGTTTAGACCAAAAACTTACTGTAATCTTTTGAAAAATAACTTGATTAGATATTATTTTATCCTCTTACACTAATTTACATTTATACAAATTTTAATTAAACATACTACATTGAGGTGCTAAGAATGTTTGTACTATCTACATTTAAAGTTACTGCACTATGACTTTATAAATCCAAATTTCAAAAGGAAGATACCTTAATGAATAACGGAATTCTTTTTTGGATTACTTAATTTCTATTGCCTATATCTTGCATGTTCATATGAACATATATACACACTTAATACATACAACTATAGAGTCCTTGTAGGAAATATAATAATCATATACTTATAATTACTGAGGATTAAGGTACCTAACAAGAGGCCTGACTTTCAACATGTTTTTTTCTTATCATAAAATCGAGAGACCTATTACAACAGGCTCTTAAATTCATAGTTTTTGGGTTTTTTTTTTAAAAGATGACCGGTAAGGGGATCTTAACCTTTGACTTGGTGTTGTCAGCACCATGCTCTTCCAAGTGAGCTAACCGGCCATCCCTATATAGGGATCCGAACCCGTGGTCTTGGTGTTATCAGCACCGCACTCTCCCAAGTGAGTCACGAGCCGGCCCTTAAATTCATAGTTTTTGAATTATTAATTACTGAAAAATGATTTAGGTTATTTTGGTAATTATATGAAAATATTCATATCTTCGGCTTACCAAAATCACTGGCTAAAAATAATGCCACATTAAACTTCCCTTATAAAAGTAAATCCCACCACAATTTTGAAATCTTTGTTAGGAGGCCCACTTCAGTAAATCAAGTAAGAGTCTTACATTGGTTTGAAACCTCTTAGTTCAAAAGTCTACAAAGAACTGTTTCTATAGATGAAAAATTATTTTCTAAATTCATCTCTTACAGCTTCAATATTCTTTATTCCTCTATCCAAGCCAAATTTTATACTTGATAATTATGTGAGGTTCTATATTATCACTACATAATAATAATGTTTATGTCTATTCATACATACCTCTCGTTTTAATAGTACCCAGTAATCACTTTGACAATTTATTATCACTTCAAATATATACTACCTCTTTGAAAGAAAATGGAGACATCCCAGAGCATTTCTTAGCCATTCCTTATTACAGAAACACATTGCTGATTCTGTGAGAACTATTTACTGTCCCTTAATAATAATGTTCTTTTTTTAAAAAAAAAAACAACTTTTTATATTAAAAGTGTGCCTGGGAATTGCTTTCCCCCTCTGACATTCCCAAAATGACAAAAGGATATTATTCCAGAATCCACCCAAAAGGCTGATTTTTCATAGAAAGATAGTGGTTTTCTAAACACAAAATGTCATTTGAATATGTTTCATAAAAATTTGTTTATGTAGACATTCTATCTGAATATATTCTAGATCTAGTACCAAAGAATGACTGGGTAATACCAACGGTGCTTTGGCTTTTTCTACTGAACAAAGTCATACAACAGCATACTTTATAAATTATATTATAGTAATTTATAAATGTTCTTTGTCAATAGAGTCAGAAGGTTAGAACAGCTAATTCTCAAGAAACCCAAGCAAATTAAAAATCTATATAACACAACAAAGAAAAATTCAATTTAGAGGGGACATAAGCAGATTTAACCAAGATTTAAAATGTACTAATTTTCTCATTTAAAATTTCTTCTCTTTCAATATAATTTTAGATCTCTTAAAACAAGGACTGAATTAAAATACAGTAATTGTTAAACTTCCAGAAAATCAAGTGTCCCTGCACCTTAAATATTATATACAGTTCCATTTATCAGTCTTTGTGCAAGAGTTAGCAATTCATGGCACAAGGGTCACTTTTTGCTTTTCCTGCAGAGTTGATGACGCTCATCAAACATCTTCCAAATTCCTCAAGTATCATCCGTTCAGCTGCTGCCTTTGATTTTCCTTTCTTGTCTGCCTGCTCTGCCTGGGCAAGAAGGCAATTACACGTGGCTTCAGCTACCTCCTTAGTTACAAATGTAAATGGCAATCTGAAACGATTTTTGAGACAGAAAGAGATAATGATGTTTAAGAACAACAAAAATGGGTAACATTCTTTCATCTGGAAATCTCTATTGACACTTTCATGATTCACCAGCACAATGAGCATCACAATTTGCATAATGAGCAAAATCTCATCCTAAAGAGCTTTAAAAAGTTGATTTGGGCTGGCCACTAAGCTCAGTTGGTTAGAGCGTGGTGTTGATAATACTAAGGTCATAGGTTCGGATCCTCGCACAGCCAGCCACCAAAAAAAAAAGTTGATTTGGTTTTATTATTGAGCAATTTTTAAAATATTCAGGAAATATAGTATTTAACATAAAACACATGACTTACTTCCTAGACAAGGTTATCTGGTTGAACAAAAGACGTAATTCTATCTGTAGACTGGATGTTTCTACAACTAACGTCCTCCCAATTCATGAATGTAAGCTCCATGAGTACAGTCTGTTTTATTTACTGCTGTTTCTCCATTGCCTAGAATAGTGCCTGACACACAGACACATTCCATGAATATTTGCTGAATGAAGAAATAATATTGATAACTGAGTATCTCTTAGACAACATTAAGAATAAAGCACTTCACCATTGTCCTTCATACTGTTTGTAAAAAACAAACAAGAAAGCATACCAAAATTGTCACAACAAACAAAACAGTGAAGAAACCAAATGCTGTTCTATACAGAGTTTCATTCATGAAGACCTGAACTACTAATAAATCAGAGCAATCCATCCTAAGGCTTGCTATATTCTAGCCACATCAAGTCTTAAAGCTTGCGATAAATCAGGCAACTTAATCTAACCATAACTCAACAAACTGGAAGTAAGCAGTCACTAATAGAAGTGCACTGCAAGACTAAATGAAGTCTGAAATTAAGGCCCTCTGTGACAACAGAGCGTAATTGAGGATTCGGGCTGCCAAATAGTTTTACAGAAATCTTTAACGTACAAAGAAGCACTTTAAATTAGAAAATATTAATATTATGATAATACTAATACTACAATAACATTTTATAATTATTAATACTATATAAGTGTTCATTATAAAATATTTGGAAACTATAGAAAAGTAAAAGGAAAGGAAAAGAATTCAAGGTTTCTGTCACTCAAAGCAAAAAGCTTGTTAACATGCTGGTATAAATTTTTCAATGTAGGGTTGTTTTTTTTACAAAGTTTTGATTATAGTGCATACTTTTGTGTTTTTTTATACTTCATATCATAAACATTTTCTCAAGTTGAAAAATTAATTATAAATATTTTACTTAGCAATATCTTTAGTCTCCATATGGAGATGCAATTTAATAATCTAAAGGTTTATTAAAAGACCACAAAGAATCCTATGTTATAACCATCATTAAGGTGTCTGCCCATTTCCCCTTTATTCAGTCAAGAACCATTTGCTGATTATAATCCAGTTGTAAGTGCTTTTTAGAACTAACATCTGAAATATTTTGTACAAAAAAAGGTTTACTTTTATAAACACTGGAAGTTAATTCAACTTAAGCATTTTAAATAATATACCATTTGCAAGGTTCATTGCATGTAATAATTCCTCAAATTAACATCTTACAAACTTTCTAATACAAATACACATCTAAATTACAAACTATGTCACATCAGGCTCTGACAAACACTGGGGACAGAAATGCTTTATTCTTTACAACCACCTGGTAAGGTCTTTTTTTTTTTTTTTTCCTTTTTGTCTTTTTTCGTGACCGGTAATGGGATCGCAACCCTCGGTGTCGCGCCCGTACCGCGACCGGCAACAGGATCGCAACCCTCGGTGTCGCGCCCGCACCGTGCTCAACCAGTGAGCAGACCGGTCTCTACATGGGATCCGAACCCTCGGCGGGAGTGCCGCCGCACTCCCAAGCACCGCACTCTACCAAGTGCGCCACCGGGCCGGCCCTGGTAAGGTCTTTTTTAAGGATAAGAAAATGGAGACTCATAGAGATGAAGTGCTTGTCTAATTCACAAACTACTAAGTAGTACAGAGAGTACTTAAACTCAAGTCTCCCTGACTTTAAAGTCCAAACTTTTCTACTCCAGAGCTCAGCAATCTAGTGAATAATAAGTGTACAATAAGGGATTATGTACAATAATACAGTGTGATGGGTGGTCCAATAGGATAGAAAAAGTGCTTCAAGAATGTTGAAAAGCCAAGAGAAGGTAAGAAAATGTGAAAATACAAATAATTACACTATCTGTAAGAGGAATAAAAAATTTGGTTTTCTTACAGGTTTCTCAAATTACTCATCTTAGTAGGGAGAAATCCAATTAAATTAAACAGTGAACTAAAGAATTACTGTGCATTTTGTTTTAGAATTGCATAATATATCTGACAGTGGTTTTTCTGTTACCTATATATTCCTTTAAATGTAACTAAAAATGGAAAGAAAATGCAAAAATCAGGTTTGCAACAACCAAAAATATGAATTCAACTTTGCGACCCCCAAAAAAGAAACTTCCGAAAGTGAATATTCAGGAAATACTATAAGGCTGACCAGTTAGCTCAGTTGGTTAGAGGGAGGTGTTGATAACACCAGGGTCAAGGGTTCAGATCCCCATACTGGCCAGCTGCCAAAAAAAAAAAAAAAAAGTACTATAAAAAGAGATAATATTGACTTACTTTCCTCCTCCGCTATTCAAAGCTGGTGTTGGCCTAGTAAGCAAGTCTGAAATTTGAGAGGATAACTTAGTCTTTGCTGCTGTTTGCTGCTGTACCCTTACTTCAGCTGCATCTGCCAAGTGCATCAATGTCTTTCTTTCTGGGCTTTCTTCAAAATTTTTACAGCCAATACATTTGCATATCGAGGAACACATTATTTTTGCCTAAAAGATTTACAAAAGAAAAGTTTCCAAATCAAAACCAAAAGACATTACTACAGGTAGATTCTAAAATCAAATCAAGAGATAACAGCATTACTTGGTCAACTGACATAAGATTAGATGGAACCATCTATTGCTGACAAACACTAAATAGGCTAACTACGCATGTGGATATGTCAGGTATTCTTATGTCTGAGAGTGGCTGTACAATTCCTGTGTTCAAATACTTCCATGTCAATTTTCTCCCACTATGAATACAGATTTTCCTCCTAATGTGAATAACATGTGTTCATAAATATGAATGATACATTAAAATATTAGTAATAAGGGTCATTCAGAATCCAACCACCAAATCAAATAACCATTAACATATCGGTGACCTCCCATTTATGCAAACATATACATAATTTCATATTAAAGGGATTTTATAGATACTATTCTTATTATGGACACCTCCCTCTTCAGATTCTCCAAACCTTTCATTAACTCAAATCAAGCCACTGTGTCCTTTCATGTAAAAATATGTAAAATATATATGTATTTATATAAAAACGTAAACCTTATATACATACATTAAAAAATAAATATAGAATTCTCTCTTATTTTCTAGTTTGTTTTACAAAATCATATACCTACTTTCCTGCATCTTGCTTTTCTTATACTATAAACACTCACAGAATCTCTCCCTCCAATTCCTCTGCATAGCCTGAATTCATTCTATTTAATGACTGGGTTTTAATCCGTGGTATTATGTGCCACATTTTACTGGGTATTCGTTCCCTGATCAATGGGCATTTATTTTGTTTCCAGTTCTTGATTACCACAAATGATGCATAAAAAGATATATATATATTGCTTTTATTTCTCCAAGCTAGATTTCTAGAATTGGGCTCACTTGTCAAATGGTATGGTATTTTAATTTTAAAAGATGTGACCTCACATCAAATGTATAAAGGAAGACTTGCCCACATTCCCTCGAACAATGGATATTATAACTCTTTTTAATATTTTCTATTCTCATTGGAGGATGGCATAAAATGAGACCTCATTGTTATTTAATTTACATTTCCTGTATTCCTGGTAAATTTGAGTATCTTTTTTCAGCTGCATTTTCTTCAGTGAACCTGTGTCAATTTAAATAAACTACTCTCTCTTCTTTCTAGCAAAGATAAGTGGACCACATTATAAAAAGACTCACTCTGCTTTCTTACAATATACTAGTAAATTCCATTTACTGAAGGAATAAATAGATATGCGTTTGGGTTATCTGGGTTACGGTGAGCCTGTCTGGGACTCTAACTAGAGCAACACTTAATAAACATCTAAGGATGAAGAGATAAAATCCATGACCCCAGGGCTGAGGAGACATACCAATAACAGTACTTTGTGTTATATTTTAAGAACCATGAGAAAGATATTAATAATGTCTAACAGGAGTTCAGGAGGGAGAAATTACAATGACAAGGCATCCACTTAGCTTTGCTAATCCAACTCCCCTTGTAGCCAGAAAAAATGGGAAGGAGGGAGGTCACAAGAAAAGACACAACCATTCATCCAAACAGGCCTGAAGGCATGTGAAAGGAACATAAATGTGTTGTCCAGATGCAAACCAACTGGACTAAAAAGCCAATTCAACTGAAGAGCATGGTGTCAAAAGAATAACAATTTAACACAGACTATCAGACAACATCATAGCTGACTCATAGCAAATCAATTAGCTACTGTTATTGATAGTATAGTGTATTCCAAGTCTTTCCATTTTTTTGGTACATGAATTTTGGAATGATGAATTAGTTATCATATATTGTGTCTGTCCTGACACAATTTCATTAGAATGTTAGGTTTCTCTCTTTCAGCACTTTTCAATCAGTCCACTACCTTTTCTACTTCTATTAATTCATAGATTTGTTAACCAGTTCAATTAAATGATTTGTTGGTGTATGTTTGAATTTCATTTGCCCAGCATGTATTGACTGTTCAAAGCCATACACATGAAAGGGGATCTTTGCCCTTCTGACCCAGCTTTATATCAATTTCTTCCTTCTCTTTTTTTGTGGACTTGGTTTGATAGCTTACAAAAATAAAAATTGTCTGCATATTAATTGTTACATATTCTTGACAGCTTTTGTATAATATGGTTTGTAAATATAAACCAGCTATTTCATCAAGTATTCAAATAGAGAGGAGAGTCAAAATATTCCAACACTGGATGAAAAACTGGCTTACTGAACTTGGAGATGTTATTTAAGAGACTTTTTTTGTGTGTGTGTGTGTGTGTGGCTAGATATAGGGATTGAAGCCTGGACCATGGTGTTATCGGCACCATGCTCTAACCAGCTGAGTTAACCAGCCATCCCACATTTAAGAGATTTTCAAAAATAATCATGACTTTATGCAATTTTAACTCATATTGACTACAGAACTAACAAGATGTTACTACTTTACTTCTTGAGAGGAGTATTTGACCTTTTAAATAAGTAAATTAGGAAAGAATTCATCACACAGAGAATGTAGTCTGCAAAATCTTTACTCTGACACATTTCATATAGGAGAGGGCACTGAGCTGCAGGACATGCTCCTACAGCTGGGAAAACCTTACCAAGGGAGAATGTAGCCATTGGTGGTGCTACCTTAGCAACTGCAAGGCTAGGCTTTCTGCCAAAACTAAAAAAAGTCTCCTTCTGAGAATGAAATTTGAAAGAATGGAAATATAATAGATGAGAAGAGCCAACTGTAGGAATGATTCAACCCAAAAGACTGTCAGTAAAAAGTCTCAGACATAGCAAGAAACCAATTATGGTAACCTAGGGTTAAAAATCTCAGGCATGGCTAGTTTGTTATATTTAAGCTTTGAAAATAAAAATAATAATCTATATAGCAATGTGTCTGATGCAAGAAAGAGATGATTTACATGGCATGTGTCAAAGAAGATTTTCAACTACATCTTCCAGAGAAGATGCCTGACCTATAAATAAAAACAGCCAGCCGAGTGGGACAACGAAACAGTGAAAATGGATACAATCACCTCATGGTGACCAGCAGTCTTATCCAGCAACATTCCATATTCCTCCTTTCCTATTTTTATGCTCACAAAGCAAATTTCTTAACATAATTTAGTTTTCCACAAGCATTGTTCTTCAAGGAGGCACTACTGGCATTTGGTCAAGATAACCCTTTACTTTCAAGACTGCAACCTGGAATGCAGGCTACTTTTAATCCACATTTATTTCCAAAAAGCCTGTGGAGAATGATAGGTAGTACTGCCCCTCAGCTGAGAGCCAGTGCTGCAGTATACTGTTTCCAAACTACTTTGATGTTATTATATTTATTGAAAAATCAGTATACTGGTGCTCTGATTTGCATACTTCTGGGTATAATGACCAAGAAATTATGAACTGGTAAATCAGCTAATTAGACCCAAGCTGTAATGACAAGCCCAAGGTACTGATTCTCTGAAGTCCTGCACGGAAGACTAGAAAGCCTTCCTCAAACAACAGCCCCTGGACTGACTGTGCATATTTTCAAACTGCAATAATAGCAAGGTGACTGCCCAATATTCAAGTAAATGTTTGTAGTATGTCCTTTCTAAAACTGTTTTCAGAAGATGGTTTGATTATTTTCCCCAACCCGTATCTCACCTCATAGCATTCACAGTAGTTTTTAAGACATCCTGATCGCTTGCAATTACATCCTTTGCTATGACGTCGATCTGATTCTCCCTCCTTTCCTTTCCCTATCTTAGGCTTAAAGGCTTCTGGATTTCTGTCAAGGCATGCCTATCAAAAAAGATCAAATATCAACTGAAGTTAAATCACAGCAGATGAAATTTAAACACTGCAAAGGGAATATTTTTCTTTGTAAGATAACTGTTCTTCAAAAAACAGGTGAAACGAGATTTTTGTCAGTGAAATAAAATGAAAAAATAATCACCTTTATTGCTTTTTGCCTTTCATTTTCATGTTCCAAATTGTTATAACAATTAGTACAATTGCAGTTATTGCAAAATTCACCATTTGCAAAGCAATCACAATATCTGGAAGGTAAAAATCAGTATAAGGTAAAGAAGTCATTAAACAAAAACCAGTAATTATCTGATTATACCGTGTGTGTATATATGCATACATATTATATATGCATTATATATTTGGTAAATAAAGCATTTTAGAAAGGTACTCACAACTACCTAGTTACAGAGTTGATATATATCAATTGTCAACCACATACTAAGGCTCAAAATTTAAGTCACCAACTCCTAGAATTTTGGCCTGGAAACTTAGTCCAACTAATAACAGCTGTCAATACAAGAGCTATGAGATTTTGTGTGCCCCAAAGTAAGTTATTTCAAAATCCTGAAAAAGGAAAAACATTGGCTATATTCTATTAGTGGAACCTGCTCATTTGAACTACAGTAGTGCTTCTTTGGATTCTAAGTTCCCAATAAGACTGATGCTTTTCATTTAACTGTTTCATGTCAAACCTTTTAGTTTAATGCTAGTAAGCAAATTAATCATACAGTGATTTTTCAAACTACTCAGAGTAGGAGAAGAAATACAGAAGTCATAAATAAGATCAAATTTATTATAATCAAGGGCAGAAATGATGTCTGTCTCATGCTGCTGTGTCCCTAATCCCTACTCCAGTGATTCATATATGATAAAGACTCTAAAATTATTTTTCCTAATGAGTGAAAGAATATTTTTACACTGCCACACAGGTTTATGCTCAAACACTCACTTTTATGTTTATCTAAGTTACTTAGACTTATGAAATTGGTCTGTTAAGAATTTTTAGTTAGCTCCATTTATTTTAAAGAGCATTTCCAGTTATATCAAGCAAGCAAACAGTAGCAAAAACACTTACAATTTCAAACACAGCGATTTTGTACAATTACAGGGCTTTCTGGGCCGACTGGCAGACTCTGATGGGATTATGCTATACAGAACAAAAAAAAAAAAGATATACATTTTAATGAATTAAAGGTAACTATTTAAAATTAGAAAGGTCTCCAATCTGTAAATTCCCTCTAAAATACAGTTTTAACAAATATATGCATCTCATAAAAATTTGCTAATGTTGTTCCATTTACATTAAGTTCAACGGTAAACTGTAACATGAAAAGAGAGATAGAAAGCCAAGATATAGGATATTATTTTTTGAAGAAGAATAAATTTTTGACAGCTGCTAAAGAACACTCCACCAATATTCTACCTTCTGAAAGAACAAAGTTGAAATCTCCTCAAAACTCTCAGCATTCAAATATAAAAGGTAGTAAGGAGAAAGGGATATGTGGAGGAGGAATTGGGGGTGAGAGTATGAACTGGATCCATGCAATTAACTAAGCACTCCTTCTAAGATAGTATATTACAAAGGCAGCAATGAACAGATTACAAACAAACAAGAAAAAAAATAAGGACGTAACATAATTTTTAGAGAAAGGGATATGTGGAGGAGGAATTGGGGGTGAGAGTATGAACTGGATCCATGCAATTAAATAAGCACTCCTTCTAAGATAGTATATTACAAAGGCAGCAATGAACAGATTACAAACAAACAAGAAAAAAAATAAGGACGTAACATAATTTTTAAAATAGTAAACATCATTTTAAAATATATATGATGAGAGAGAGAGAATAATAAAACAAATGTGGCAAAATTGGTGAATCTGAGTAAAGAGTATTTGACAGTTCTTTATTTCTGGAACTTTTCTGTTTGAAGTATTTCAAAATATTGTGTTGGGGTTTTTGGGGGGGTTTTTTTTGCTGGCCAGTTCAGGGATTAAACCCTGGACCTTGGTGTTATCAGCACCACACTCTGACCAACTGAGCTAACCAGACAGCTTGAAGCATTTTAAAATAAAAAGTACCTTAAAGGCATGTTCAAATGGCTTTAAAGGGAAAAAGTCAAATAGGATGTATTTTGGAATATATATATATATGTATATATATTTATATATATATATATATATATATATATATATATATATACATACATATATACATATATATGTATATATATATATACAAATATATATATATATTTAATACTGTATTTAAGCTGACACAACAACTTAACTTACATATTTTCAAAATACTTACCCATTGAATGGGAGCCTTGCCTGAGTCTGGATACCAGATGTTCCAGTAAAGTTAGAGTTGCTTGCTATAGACACATATGAAGACTGCTGTAGCTACATGCAAAGAAAGGAAATTTGAGAACATATTTGCAAAAATGGACAATACTCTCACATATAATGATCAGTAAGAAGCACAAATTCTTCTATAAAAACAGAAAACACAATGTCTGTATAAAATATGTGTACATAAAAAAAACAGCAAAAACATAACTGAGAATTTCATACGAATTTGAGAACATATTTGCAAAAATGGACAATACTCTCACATATAATGATCAGTAAGAAGCATAAATTCTTCTATAAAAACAGAAAACTCAATGTCTGTATAAAATATGTGTACATAAAAAAACCAGCAAAAACATAACTGAGAATTTCATACAAACACCTACCTCATGGAACTCTTTTAAAGACCCAAACCAATACTAGAGGTAAAAATAATGTGAGCATTTCATGGTACTACATGGTATAAACATAAGAAATTACTTCGTAGAGGAGTAAGTATGTCAGAATTATAGGAAATTCTAGATGAATGCCCTAAAAGTACTGTAATAATTGTACTGACTAGAAAAATGCAATGTGCCTACTTACAAATAAAATAGGTACTATATTGATTATTCATCACATTACAAATCATAAAGAATGAGAAGTTACGTGCACAATAACTGAGTTTCTATTTTATACTGATTTATTAATGATAAAAATACAGAACATTAATTTTTTTATCAGTAGCCACATAACATACTCCAAAGTACATTTCATTACACATGTGGTTTTCTGTTTCCCTTTCTTATAATCTGAGTTGATCAATTCAACAGTTTTGAATATGGTCCTGATTTGCTCAATCCTTCCATGACAAAGAAAACTTCTGTCTGCTTTGTGTAAGCAGCACTCCCAATCCAAGCCAGCAAACTGGATAATATACATGGCTTTCATTCTGAAGATGACCAGATGCAAGTGGACAGATCACTAAGGATATGTCACCTGGCAATGCACCTCACTGTTTATTTTCCAAGCACAAATTGGTGGCATCATATTCATGTGTGAGGACGCGCTTTATTATAGTGATAGTCTTTTCTAAATTCATGTGCACTCTGCTGGTTTTAATCTTAACTTATTTTCTCTCGTATCTCCATGTCTTGCCCTCTCACCAGGCTGCTCTCATCTCCAAAATATCTGTGTTTATATCTGACTTGTTCTGCATATTTCTAAATGTTCAAGATACACAAATAATCTCAGAAGTTTTAGTTAATGTTTCAAGATTTTGGAAAGAGCCATTTTAATCCTGTTAGATGTCTTTTAAGTAGTTTGAGAATGTGATAGCGCTAGACATCTTAGACCCACTTATCATTTTTGAAATGCAATGACTTCATTTTTCCCCATACCTGAGTAACATACTGAGCTGGAAGCACTGCATAACCCACATTTCCTGTTCCTGGAGCTGGTGCCAGGACAGTGCCCGGTGGCAGGTTAGTGAGGTTGGGCTGGATCTGTGGCAGTGGTGTGGCAGGCATGATAAGCCGTTGCTGTGGTTGGCTAGTAGTCACTATTTGTGAAGTTGGGTTGATTGGTTTTGGAACAACCTAGAGAGAAATATATTAATGATTACAAAAATAAATTTTACAGCTACCCAATTCAGTATAAATCTCCTGTAACCTAATCTTAACGTTCAATTTAACAAATAAATTGTCTGTTTGGGAGAGACTGAGAAAAGAAATTATATGATACTCACTTGTTTGACAGCCTGAGTTTGGACAAATGGAACCGACATCCGCACTGGGGTTGTATTAACAACCACTGGCTTTGCTTTTTAAAAAGGGAAAAAATATGAACAATTTATTTACAGAAAACAGTATTTAAAACACTTAAGAATACTTAGCTCTCCCAAGATATCTTCATGAAAGAAATTAAAGAATTCTACTTGTTTCCTATTCTGAGTAATCTTTAACCAGGATAGTTATCTTTCAAAATTGCTTACTCCACAAACTAGAGAATTTATTTCTAAGACAGCTATAATCTATCTACTCTATGAGGAAATATTTGTAGGTTCAAGACACTCCATTGAAAATATTTCAATCTATATTCAGATGATTTATGTACTAAATCCAGTCAAATAAAATGTTATATAAATAAAAGAACTGACATTCATAAGTTTGGGTGCTATTTCTAACTGCTGTGTTTTTATTCAAGCCAGAGAAAATATCTTTCTTGTATGAATCAAAATTTACAGAATACACACTAAAAGGCAGCATAGCATAAAGGTTAAGAATATAAACTCTAAAGTCATAAGACCCAGGGGGATCAAATCCCTGTTCTGCCACTTTCTAACTATTTAAACTATCTTTGCCTATATCCTCATCTGCAATATGGGGAGCATCTAACTCACAGGGTGTAAGGATTAAACATGTTAATTTATGAGAATTAATTAGAACAGTGCCTAATAAATAACAAGTGCTCAATGAATGTTACTTGCCATTACGGCTATTGCTGTTTGTTGTCTTTATTACAACCATTACTACTCTATAAATGGCACTGTGGCCAGTGTTCCAAGGAACTAAAGTACAAGATACCTGCTCTCACGGAGATTACACTCTAGTACAGCAATTTAGGCAAGTTACCAAATGAGATAAATCCTATTAAAGAAGATAAAGTGTTCTGGGAGTTCAAACCAGAGAGAATACACCTGATTGGCAGAGGATGGGACTACGGAAGGAGTGCATGGAGGACGTGGTACTGAGATGGGCCCTGACCAATGGACAGGTCACAGATTGGAGGAGGGCAGGCAGAGGCAGAAGCATGAGAAGTGAAGGCTTGATCCTGGGAAGCTGCAAAGCACATTCACGTAATGCTTGTGAACAGAGCACTGTGGCTGGAAACTAGGGTTAAAGTAGACAAACATAGGCACAAAGGCAGATTGCAGACATTTTGTTGAGGACCTTGAATGTTAGGGTAGAGATCTGTATACTTAACCTGTATTTTTAATTCAGTAGGCAATGAGGTTTATGGGGATTTTTAAGAACAGAAATATCATTAGAGTAGCATAAAAAGAAATTGTACAATTTGGCAGCATTGTGTAAAACAGAATGGACTGCAAGAAACTAGACAAGTCAGAAGAGTGACTGTATACTTAACCTGTATTTTTAATTCAGTAGGCAATGAGGTTTATGGGGATTTTTAAGAATAGAAATATCATTAGAGTAGCATAAAAAGAAATTGTACAATTTGGCACCATTGTGTAAAACAGAATGGACTGCAAGAAACTACACAAGTCAGAAGAGTGCCAAGAAACTAGACAAGTCAGAAGAGTGAAAAACATGAGGTCTAATCTGGGGTGACAGCACTGGGAATGAAAAGGAAAGAGCATATGCGAGAGAGCTGGTACAGGCGAAAGGAACACGACCTACCAACCTCAGAGTGGCAAGAACTATAGGAATAAGGGAAGACAACTTAAGTTATTGCAGAAATTTCAAGTGACCAAGAAAATGGCAGCTGTTAGAACTACAAACTCAAGGATAAGCCAATTTGAAGGGAGGATGAAACCTGTCATGGAGAGATGCTGTGAAGAAATTCAGGAAAGAGGCTGGCACTAGATCTATATGTTTGGATCAAAAGAAGTACAGTTTTTAAAACTGCCTACTGCTGTTTCTGCAGACTAAAGCAGGGATTTAAGAAAAGAGAAAGCACACCTGTTCAGATTTCATTTATGCAAAAGAAGGCCCGGAGCCTGGTCTGAAAGAGAGGTTGAGATAATGGGATCTAAGCTGCTCCAAAGAATAAACTAAAAACAATAGAGTTCCTTGCATAGAAAGATTATGATATTAACAGATTTTTTACTTTTGGCAGGGACTGGAGAGCTGACGGCTGAAGACAAAAAAGTTGAGAGTCCTAGAAGAGAACTTTAGAGAGAAGGTACTCTGATCTAAAAGCGAGTAGACCACTGCAGCAAGGTGACAAACTAAAGGGGGGAGGGGGAGCAAGAGACCTCCAGAAAAGAGTGTATGATTAGTGGTGATGTTTGTGTAACTCTGTGAATATACTATAACCAGTAAATTGTATGTTTTAAAGAGTGAATTTTATGGTATATATGAATTATATCTCAATAAGGTTGTTATACAAAAAGAGTGTATCACTATGAAATATAGGAGCAGTAACATCTGATACCCAGTTTGAAGTGGTTCCTGTTCTATTCTGATTCTCTTTAATTACACCCCAAAGCGTTAGCAAAGTTATAACCATTGTAGACTGGTCTCAGCAATAGTAGAAGGAGTTAAAAGGTGAGGCTGAATTCATGCTTGGGACCTAGGAGAGTAGAGTCCCTCCCCACCTACTCTTGGAGAGATGATGTTCACTGTTCCATGAGCACATAGAACAGAGATGCTGAAGCAAGAGCAACCAGCAGTGGAACATAAGAACTTCCTGGTTGTCCTGAGAAATAATAGGAGAGTCTAACCTGCTGTCCTCAGTCACATCAAATGGTCCCCTCCCCACACACATGCACAAATGCAAATGTGTGCATGCGCACGCACACACACACACCCCTCTAGAAAACTTAGGAATTCAAGTTTACATTGGTTTGGCATCTGCGTGCTGGGTTTTAACTGAAGCCTGGAGAATGAAGAAAATATAAAATGAAGTGGTCAGAAAAAAGACACTATAAAATACCGAGGGAGTGTTATATAACAAAGTCAACAGTCTGTATTTCTTCTCCTCCTTACCTCAGCATACATTACTACTACTGCAGTTTTCATAGAAACTGGCATAACCTCCTATTCTTAGTTGTTAATAGGAATTCTGAACACTCCTTTAGAATAGCCTCCTTCCAAACTTCAGAAACCACACCTGCCAGTGTTTGAGGATTTTTAATTTCTTAAAAGAATGAATTTTATAAAGTGAGTTCTTCCCTTACCAAGATGGTAGACCATATTCTTAAGAGGTTAACCAAGCACTCTCTTGGGTCCTTCTACTATACTGCCTGCGATTGAGCCAGCAACTAACATGGTAGAGACTTTGAATATTGGTTCTTGAACAGCTTTGGGGGGGAAATGTATAAAAGGAACCCAATTCCCTTTGGCATTTAAGTAAATCCCTCATAGGAAATTGGGCCCTTAGAAAGACACATCAGTACAACTGATGAACTGGAGGAACTATTTAGTGTATCTCTAATAAAAATTGTAAATTTAATTCATTATTCCTGTGAAATAATATATATTACACATACCCATACAACTATGATTCTATTTTACTGTCTTTTACAACAACTGCTGATTCAAACTCTCAGCTGAAATGCCACACTTAATCAGGATTTCAGCAGGAAAAGGACGAATGTTCTTTAATCATGTTAAAAGCACTTATCACTGTTTTTAAAAAAATGGTTACTAACCTTGCTGAAGAGGCTGAGTGTTTGTACTGGGATTCTGACTAACTGGTTGTGTTGAGCTACTGGCTGTCGTGGCAGTAACAAGCCGGACATAATGAAACTTGCTTCCAGGCACTTGAATCTGCTGGACATTGGGAGCAGTTGCCAGAGGAATAATTGTCTTAAATTGTGGTGTGCTCACTCCTCCAACAGTGATGGTCTGCACAGCTGATTTCACTGCCTATTAAACAATACAACATGGCTATCATTAATCTGGAATTCAATTTTCCTACTTCTTTTAACTTATGACAATTGCTCAAGTAATAAAGTATGCTCCTGTATTTCGTCAAAAGCTGTTGAAAAGAACAACCTGTTCAAAGAAAAATGAAAAGCATAGAAATGAATACAGGAGTGAAACCAAAATTAATGAATTCTACCTTCCATCTCTAGTAGTGAACTTCCTTGATAGTCCCGGTTAGAAGACTTGCTATAAAGAAATTATGATTTAACTTGCAAGGACTTACACAGTTTTGTTAATATCAAGTAAAATTTATAAAAGTATTATTTTAAAAGTCCCAGAATTAAGCCCCATATTCAATATAGACAAAAGAAAATATAGATATTTGGCTTTATTGCTACCCACCAAATTAAGTATGACAAATTTTATATTAACGTGTTCTAAAGGAGAAAGAAACTCAAATGAAATGCCCATCTTATGCCCTTATTAAGTCTAGTCAGTTCTGAAAGGCTTATAATACTTCCCAGGTACAAAAGTACCCACTAGCATATGGGCAGGAGAATAAATTCAGTCCAAAATTACTTCAATTTTGGTTGTCTAGGGAAACTAACTCGTTTTGGGTGAATCAGATCTGCTGTCAACAGAATCATTTCAATTTATTTTAATCCTTTTCTGCGGTCAAACAGAAAGCAATGAAACTTCCCATAAGTTCAACGAAACATCAGAACAAACTAGTCTTCTGAGATGTCCCTAATGGATGTTAAACCAATGTATGACACACTGTCATACAAAGCAAAGGTCCAAACAAGACTGTCCAGTTGTATGGTATTATTTTATAAAGAATTACATCCCCACCTATTCTACAAAAAGTCCTCATGCTAAAAGACAACTGACATATGATGGAGGAAATCTATATTCACTATGTGAATAATAATTTAGGAAAGAATAATACTGAAAATTTTGAACATTTTCATTAAAGTCCGGGGGGGGGGGGGGGGAAAAATTAAAAAAGCCCTTTTGGTTTGGAATTTTAGACAAAAGGAAATTATTTCAGAAAAAAATTTTTAAAATTTTTATAAAAGGGGGGGGGGGGGGGGGGAGGGAACAATTAAAAAATGCCATTTAGTTTGGAAATTCTAGTCAAAGGAAATTACTTCAGCATAAAATTATTCAGATATTATCATTAGAAAGAGGCACCAAAAAGATTCAAAATAAAGACAAAATGTAACAATAGCCACAGCAGTCAGTGAACTAAATGAAAACAGAAAACCTACGAAAAGGGATAAAATGTATAAATATGGAAGTGACTGAAAAATCAAGCAACCTGTGAGACAAATATGTGCAATGGTACAAGAGACAGTCTTTAGAAAAAAAATACTGCCTTAAGAAACAGGTGCTTCAAATATAATAGTTACATGTATTGGGTACTTAATATGCAAGAAGGACAGTACAAAAAACTCTACATAAAATTATCTGATTTAAATCTAGCAACCACATTAATAGGCAGGTATACTAGGGCACAAGTGCTGGGGCTGGTTTAGTTAAGTTTACATAGTATCCCTCTTTCTATCTTTTTTAAAATAAATTTTATTGTGTGTATTTAACATTTACAACATGATGTTACGGGATATGCACAAATAGTAAAATGGTTACTAAAGTGAAGCAAATGAACATATCCATCATCTCACAGAGTTGCCTTTTTTTTGTAGAAAGAGCAGCTAAAATCTACTCATTTGGCAGGAATTTCAAATACAGTAGCATTTTATTACCTATAGCCCTCATGTTGTACAACAGATCTCTAGCCTTGTTCATCCTACATGTATGCTATATATATCCTTTGACCTACTTCTCTCCACTTCCAAGGCCCCCCTCCCCTCCTGCCTCTGGTAACCACTGTCTTGTTCTCTCTCCCTTTGCCCTCCAGGTTCATCCATGATGTGGCCAATGACAGGATATTCTTTTTTTTTTTTGACCGGTAAGGGGATCGCAACCCTCAGCACAGTGTGGTCTGCACCACGCTCAGCCAGTGAGCGCACCAGCCATCCCTATATAGGATCCAAACCTGCAGCCTCGGCACTACCAGTGCTGCACTCTCCAGAGTGAGCCTCGGGGCCAGCCCAGGATATTCTTTTTTTTTTTTTTTTTTTGTCTTTTGTCTTTTTCCGTGTCCGGCAACGGATCGCAACCCTCAGTGTTGCCCCCGTACCGGACCGGGGACCGGCAACGGGATCACAACCCTCGGCGTTGCTCCCGCGCCTCGCTCAGCCAGTGAGCGGGAACCGGTCCGTATGTGGGATCCGAACCCTCGGGCGGGAGCGCCGCCGCGCTTCCCAAGCGGCGCACTATCCACTGCACCACTGGGCCGGCCCCAGGATATTCTTTTTTTAAGGCTAAATAATACTCCATTGTTGATATATGAGTATATATACTACAATGTCTTTATCCATTTGTCTGTCAATGAACACTTAGGTTGTTTCCATATCTTGACTATTGTGAATAATACTACAATGAACACAGGAGTGCAGATATCTTTATGAGGTGGTGATTTCATTTCCATTGAGTGTATGCATGGAAGAGGGATTGCTAGGTCATATCATAGTTCTATTTTTAATATCTTTAGGAATCTCCATACTATTTTCCATAATAGTTGCACCAATCTACATCCCCACCAACAGTGTGCAAGGGTTCCCTTTCTCCACACCCTTGCCAAGATTTGTTATCTTCTGACTCTTTTTTTTTTTTTTTTTTTGTCTTTTGTCTTTTTCCGTGTCCGGCAACGGATCGCAACCCTCAGTGTTGCCCCCGTACCGGACCGGGGACCGGCAACGGGATCACAACCCTCGGCGTTGCTCCCGCGCCTCGCTCAGCCAGTGAGTGCACCG